GCGCGCAGCGCCGCGCGCCCTCACCACCACACCGCCACTCAGCTCCTCCCCCTGCTGGAGCAATCCCCCGCCGCGCTCCAACCCGCCCCGGCCCCCCATACACGCACCCCACCCCGTCAGCCACGGCTGCTTCATGAACGGCAAGCAGCAGAAGATGGTATGGTGCTGCGGCTGCTGGGTGCGCGCCTACCACCCCAGCAGGTGTCTGCCGCCCTCCGCGGTCGTCGTCGATGTGGAGTTGGCTGCCGGGCGCTCCTCCTGGGCCGGCGGCAGCGGGGGCGGGAGCCGGCAGCGGTACGTGTTGTGCCCTTGGTGCCGCGCGGCGGTGGCAGAGGGGTGGCGGCCGGACGACAATTGGGCGGCGGGGTACAGGCTGGTGCTGCCGCCGGGGGTCGAGGGCGGCAGCGGGGCGGTGCAGCGGCTGGAACAACACCAGCAGGAGCAGCAGGAACAGCAGGAGCAGCAGGAGCAGCAGCAGCAGCAGCAGCAGCAGCAGCAGCAGCAGCAGCGGGAGCATCAGGAAGAGGATGCGGAGAGAAGGGTGGAACAGCCGCGGCAGGGTGCGCACGCCCTTGGGGCGCTGCGAGCAGCCGAGGGCGGCGCAGCAGAGGCAGTCGAAGGGGAACAGGGGCATGACGGGCAGGAATCACCGCGGCCGCCTCAGCAGGAGCAGCTGCGTCAGGGGAAGCAGCAGGCCGGCATCAGCGCAGGCGGCAGCCGCGGCTCTAAGCGCACCTCTCCCAGGCAGGATGGCGGTGGCGGCTCGGGCACGGGCGCGGGCGTGGGCGCGGGCGTGCCCCGAGGGTCCCACTGCTGCAGTGCGGCCGAGGCGAGCAGCACAGCCGTGGTCGGCGCGGAGGCGGCAGACCCACCCAAACTGCAGGCAGACACAGAGCAGGGGCGCCATGGTGCTGGGGCCGGAGGGCAGGGTGCCAGACATGAGGACGAGGAGGAGGCGGGTGGCGGCCAGCAGAAGCGAAGGCGCCTGCGGCGGGTGCCGCCGCAACCCTCCACCGACAGCGACACACGCGCCAACGCCAACGGCGGCGGCACCGCTTCCGACACGCCCAGGCCCTCGCTGAGCGACGGCGCCGCCAACGGGAGCGGCGACAGCAGCGGCGGCGGCACGCCAGCCTGCGGGCTCCGGCGGCGGCGGCGCTTGGGGCGCGGGCCCGCGTGCAGCGGCAAGCACAGTGCGGCCACGTCCGAGCTCATCGACCTGACCCTCTCCAGTGATGAGGACCAGCGGGCGCCCAGCGGTGGCGGAGGCGGTGGCGGCGGCGCATCTACAGTTGCCACCTGCGCGAATTTGGGCCACGACGGCGGCGCGGCGGGCCCGGCCGGCTGTGCCGAACGCGGTGGCGGCGGCGGCCGGCTGGGGCCCGCTGTGGAGGAGGGTGCGGGGCGGCTGCTAGATCTGGTCGGGTGCGGCCGTGGGGTGGAACGGGGGCGGGCGGCCCAGCAGCAGCAGCAGCAGCAGGAGCAGCGGCAGCAGCAGCAGCCGCGGCAGCAGCAGCAGCAGCAGCAGCAGCAGCAGCAGCAGCAGCAGCAGCAGCAGCAGCAGGAAGAGGATGGCGGTGCGCGGCGGCACGAGGAAGATGAGGCTGATGGGAAGGATGATGAAGACGGGCAGCAGCAGCAGCAGCACGGCCTTGCCAATGGCCTGGGGGGCGAGTTAGCTGGGCCGCTCAACAGTGCCGCGCGCGCCAACGGCCGGCAGGAACGCCCCACAGCCCCGTTTGACACCCAGCCGCAGCCGGCGCAGCGGCAGGGGCAGCAGCACGAGCAGGAGCAGGGTGCGGACGGGCCCGTGCTCGCGGGCGGTCGCGGCGGGCGCGACCTGTCGCCAGGGTTGGAGCCGGGAGCGCGCACCACCCCGGTCCGCCAGTGCATCAGCTTCCGCGGCTTTGCCGGCATGAGGCGGGAGCGGCTGGAGCGCGAGCGCCTGCTGGCGGAGGGCCGCCGCCGGGCGACGCTGCAGCTGCAGGCCTTGCGCGCTGCCGCGCCCGCGCCGCGCCCGCGCGGCGCGCCGCCCGCGCGCGCG